AAAGGCGGCGGCGGTTTTTGGGGAAAAGTCATTCGATGGAACAACTCCTTCCATGGCGCCACACAAAAATAGGCGTTCGCGAGAATTTGGAGCGGAAAATTTTTGAGCCTTGGAACGGAACTACGGTCATACGACCGCAGCCGAATATATGAATCGAATCGAAAATGCAAAACAAGAAAAAAATTGGGGATTTCTGGAAGTTACGGTGCAGTGAAATAGCGGAAATGTAAAAACAAAAAAAGAAGATTTGAAGACTTGGGATTCTCCTCGAATTTTGCTCAAATCTTCTGCCTAGTGCACGTAAGAACTCCCCAAAATTTTAGCTCGCGCTTTGCAGGCGCCACCGAGATATTCAACGATCTTTGCCGCCGAGAGAGAAAGGGAAATGAGGAGAGTGGCCAGAGGTAAACACTTTTTTGGCAATATCTTTGCCAGTTTCGCGCGGAAAAAATTGATTTTTTGTGGAAACATTACCCTCTACGGCAGAAATAGCCATGAAACTTTTCATGCCAAAATTCGCAAAAAAGTTTCAAATTAACGCCAATTTTCGAACTACAAATCTCGGTCGTTTCTATGAAGCACGAGGTAGAAATCTTGCCTTTGTCTTAGAAAAGGTTACTTTAAATTTGTACCAAGTTTCATCAAAATCTAAGCGTCACACTTGGAGTACCTACCTTGTAAAAAAAACCTTGTAGCATCCTAAATATGGACATCTTTTCCGACATTTCTCCTCATAATTTCTTCTTCATAACGGTCGTTTTCTTCTTCATAACGGTCCGTCCCCGCGACATCAACAAAACAGACTGAAATTTGCACGGCCCAGGTCGCAAAATCTTGCTGATTTTTTAGTTTTCGAATTAAAAAGCTCCATGGATTTTGCCAATTGAGGGCTAACACTCTCACATGTATTCTTAAAAAATCCAAGCCTAAATCTCTGCCAAGAGTCATCAAAATCCATGTATCAAAACTTCAGCACTTTTATCGGACTGTCCGAAAAATAACGAGCATTCTGTCGCATCGAAAATCGCATTGCCGCCGAGAAAAATTTTCCGGCAGACTGATACGGTGGCGGACCTCATCCAGTGGCAAAAAACGTACCATTTTGAATCCGGGAAGTATCAAAAAATGTAGCAAAATACCTCCCTCAACAAGCGAAAAAACACCGATTTCCTCAATTTAGATGGCTTTAATTTCTGGGCTTTTTCCACGACCAGAAGCTTGGCAACGACCAAAATTCCTGGATTCCTTGACGTGCCCTTTGGAGTGCTCCTAGCCATACATTCAGAGCCCTTAAAACCCCCAACCAAACCGCTCAACCAACAAAAAGTCGGCTAAAACGGACTGGCAATGCACTTGAAGTAAATAAATCCAGAGTTTCGAAACCTCCACCAAAACCCTCCATTTGCAATGTCCCATGTGGCCTTCACGCTTGTCCCGACCATTTCCGCCCCAATGTCAACCGAAAGCCGGAAGCAGGTAGGCACAAAAATCGACCGGGAAAGCGGAAGAAACGCACGGGGACAGATGGCCGACCTTTTTCGGACGCGTCCGTTTCGACTCCGAGGCCGCGCCCCCAATAAGATCGGGTTTATCCCAAAAATGCGGCCTGGAAGCGCGGCGGCGAGGAGAGGGGGGAACGCACTTGATGAGACAATAATACACGATAATTACACTTGATTTGGAGGGGAAAGCATGGGTAATATTGAAAAATTTATCGAAAAGAGAGAGAAAATCTGGGATTTTCAAACCCAAAAACTTTATTATCATCAAATTTGGCATCATGGCCTGAGGGGATTTTTTTTGAATTTTGTGTAAAAAAACTAGTCCGTTCGGAAAGTCGTTGAAGTGATTATCGCTTTATGCTGTTTTACAGAGCCCTCTTTATCCAACGGATCCCAAAAAAGACCAAAAAATGCGACAAAGATTAAAAATCCTAAAAAAAAGACGAAAATTCCCATTTCTCCCGCAAATTTCTTCATCGCAAACCAATTTTGAAGGCCAAAGAAACCGGACATGAAGTAATTTCGGGACGAGGCCAGAAGATGGGCCAACAAAAACGATCCCAAAGATGGGAGGAGAAGAGCCTCCGATAAATTTTTCGGGTTTGTTTCAAAGTTGGAATCCGAAAAAAGAGAGAGGGGAAGTGGAAGATTGGCCGGAATGGAATTGGCCGGAGAGAAGGCAACGGGCGAAGGGAATGTTGCGGATATTGAGAGAACATTTTTATGAAGGATATAGGTCGTTTGGAGTCTACGCCGCATTTTATATATATTTTTGAGTTGATCACTGGTAACCCGTTGGCAAAATCTTAGTCTATTGCTGACCGTGTCCCGATTTTTCGGGTCGACGACAGTTCGGGTCATCACAAAATCGATCGGGCGCGTAAGGCAGGTGGTTACTCAAAACAAAGTTTTGGATGTGCCTATGAGGCCTAGGTAGTGCGAATAAGCCGTGCGATGGTCGGCGGACGCTCGGCGAGGGCTTGCAATATGTCTTTTTTTTCTAATTTTAGCTATTGCTAACCTTAGTTTTCTTGACCCTGAGTTATTGTAACATATAAAAGACCGAAATTGGCGGCTAAAAATGAAGATCCATAACTTTTATTTATATAGGTATCATTGATGTGAGTGAATGTAAAATACCTCAAAATGGGGGATAAGCTATCTTACGACCCGAGCAATCCTGTTATTTCTGCTAACCAAGCCTATCCTAGCGTCCCTGTGCATACAACGACGAACCGATGCGATCCATAGCATCGTTGTGAGTACAAGTCACGGCCACAACACTTGTTGGGTAATTGAGAATATCTGGGCCGTTCCCGGAAGTGGTGCAAGACCGGGCCGACCCGTGCAGAGCGGAAGGCAAGCCTTCACGACTCCGCTGGTCCCAAAAATCTGTTAATCTCGAATGACTTCAATAGAAGTCGTACCGGAGATTAAACCGATAAGAACAGATACTACACTTTGATCTTAGCCAAAAGGCCGAGAAGCGATACCAAACTGCCTTCTCTGTGCCAGACCTGAATACCCGCGCTCGTCAGAGCAATGGGTTATTTTCGGAGCCAGGAAGTTAGAGGATTTGTGCTAAAACTTGGCTATTTCTGATTTTTTATTGTATTTTGAAATCCAAGAGTTCAAAAAATTGGAGGGAATCGTATTTTACCGTAAACAGTAATCAAAAGCAAATTACTTTTGTTCGAAGTCCCGAGGAAAAAGCGAATTTCCCGCACGCTCTCTTCTTTTCTCCCGCTCTCTCGTTTGTGCGTAGCGCCAATCCAAAAGCGCGCGTTTTTTGGGAGAAAAGAAAATTTCGAAATAGGGAAACTGCACTGTGCCCAAATTCCTCGTTCCACGCACAGTGCAGTTTGTTTCGCCGCACGGTGCATGCGGGTTTTTGACTAACGGGGGAAGTGCGACGCCCAGATTTTCACGAAACTTGGCAAAAATTTTGAATAATGTTTTTGAGACATGCGGGACCGTACCTTGCGGAAAAGGACCGAGATTTTTGGCTCGGAAGGTTGGTTTGATCCAGGCTATTTTTCTCTTGTTTTGACGAAATGGGGCCTCGGCAAAACTCTTAAAATGGCATGTATTCTAAACTAAGTAAGCCACGAAACAAGAGTAGTCTCAAAAAAGGGTAATTTAGATGGTAAGAACAAGTAATTACGGCCGTTTTTTGAGAAACGTATCATTATGTCGGATTTTACAAAAATTACTTTTTATATTACATATAGGTTGAACCAGAATACCTTCTACTAGTCCGTTCGTAAAGTCGCTGGAGTGATTTCTGGCATTTGCACTGTGAGAAAAAAGTCAGGGTGCGAGCGACACCCGAAAAAGCCTTTGCACGGTGCAAAAAGCAAGAAATTGCACAGTGCAAAGTGAACTTTTGTTTTCTTACGGTGCAAACGCCAAAAATCACTCCAGCAACTTTACGAACGGACTAGTAGAAGGTATTCTGGTTCAACCTGCAATGAAAAAAGTTATTTTTGTAAAATCCGACATAATGATACATTTCTCATAAAACGGCCGTAATTACTTGTTCTTTACCATCTAAATTACCCTTTTTTGAGGCCTCTTGTCTCGTGGCTTACTTAATTTAGAATACATGCCATTCTAAGAGTATTGCCAAAAGCCCATTTCGGCGAAACAAGAGAAAAATGGCCCGGATCAGAGGCATTTTTGTCTGGCCTTTGGCCCAAATTAACTCCCGCCGACGATGAGTAGGCATTTTAAAGGCCTTCATGAAGAACTAGCAATAGTTTTTGTAGACTTTTTTTGCTCGGTTTTGTAATTATTTTTTATAATTTTCCACTGTAAGGTCAAGATGTTGAAACTCTCATTAGAGCGGATTAAGATGCGCTTTTATTGAGGGGAAATCGGCATTCTTTATTCGTTTGGAGCATCGGATACATCTGCCGGTAATTGGTTCCTCTTAAAATTAATGAGAACCTATCGAAAATAAGGGATTTTATAGAGTTTTGATGATTCTTGGCCTTGTTTTGGCTGCAAATCGATTTTGCTCGCTTTTTTTATAAGTTACAGTAGGTTTTTGGAGCTTGTTAGAGGTTTTAGCAGGCCTTTTTAGGCTTAGCTTTTCCGGAAATTAGTTTTTTCTACCTAATGTCGAGTAAAATCGCTTTTTTGACCTTTTTCTATCTAAAACACGTAGTTTTAGAGGTTATTTGTGATTAAAATAGCATCTAGAATCTTTTTTATCACCTAAAATTGCATTTTTAACAAGTTATATGTCTCAAAACACCCTCTCAGGATGTTGTTTTAGACAAAATGCGTGTTCGATCAAAGAACAAGTTTGACTCATCAAGTTCTGTCCATTTTCCCAAGTTTTTCACTCTTTCGAATTGCTTGTTATTCACTCCCCAGCCTCTCGCATAAGTCATCTTCCAAAAACACCGGCGATTTACAGAAATAACCCCTCTCTGATTAGATCTCGGCTGTTTTTCTCGCCGACAAGGAGTTCGCTGCGCGGAATCGGGGTGAATGACCTTGTCCGAGCGCTTCACTCTTCACTCAATCGTCTTGTATCTGGTACAGCGGAGATTTTCACTTCAGTTTTCATAAAGTTTTCGCCATAATCCTACCGTAGTTTGAAGAAAATTGCTAAAAACCGGCGATTTTTGGGAGATTTTAGCTCAAAAAGGGGGAAATTATTTTGAAATTTGTTGCTATTTTACAATACTATTAAATTTCGAACAGTTTTGGAGTTTTTATTACCTAAAAATCCTATTTCTTCCCATTCAAATAAAGCCCCATCGATTCGTTCGTCCTCGCCGCCGTGCCAACCATAGCTCAGTTGGTAGAGCGGAGGACTGTAGTTCAGCGGAAATCCTTAGGTCGCTGGTTCGAATCCGGCTGGTTGGAATTGCCTTTTGCCGCCGGTTTTCATTCATTTTTCGCTGATGCCGGGTCGGTTAAGTTAATCCGGAGAAATTGTACCCCTAGGGAGTTAATAGCGTGCGTATTTTTTAATTGGGGCCCTCGGAAAATTAGCAAAATTGGCCTAAAACTGGGGAGAAAGGGGGTTGCTTGGAGTGTAATATTTTGGTGAAATTAGAAGTCCAGATTGTATAAAATGATGTTTGAAAGACCCGAGTGTTTGCTGTTGGTCAATTTATCAACATATTCGTCAAAATTCTTGTTATTTTTACAAAACATAAGCTGTGTCTGTGAGTCCCGCCACGAAAACAAACAGTGATTGGCATTGCGCGTCAGCCGTTCCGAACAGAAAAAAGCGCGCGAGTCTCTGACCATTCGCCCGTTCCAAATCATCATTCTGCTTCGGTTCGTGCGGCTTTTGACAGTGTTTTTTGTATTTACAAGCTGCAAGATTTTTTTAACTTTATCCTTGTTCTTCGCGAATTTTCGGTGTTTTTCTGATCTTTCCTAATTTTTCTCATTATTTGCAGGTTGTTTTCATTCCTCTGACCACTCCGTTCGAATCCAAAATGGTAGGTTGAAGATTTTGTTTCGTTTTTATATTGTTTTAGGGACTTCGGGATGTTACACGGAGAAGGTGCAAATACCAATTTTTGTCTGAAATTGGCATGTGAGCATAAATGGATAAGCAAGACTGTAGTTTTACCTAGCAAAAGAGATAGTTTCGCGTTCTTGGGGCTTTGATTTTGAAGTTTACTGGGCGTTTTTTGCTGGTCGCACCTAATTTTTGATGGTGAATTAAAATTTTACAAATCCCAAGAGTTTTACGCTCTAATTTGAAGTTTGGGAAATTTGGAGACTTTCTGTAAACCCGATATTGTCTTATGGAAGAATTTTTTCCATAAATTACCTATAAATACTCGCTTTTCAGAGAGAAGTTATCTCCATCCACGTTGGACAAGCCGGTGTTCAAATCGGAAATGCCTGTTGGGAGCTCTACTGCATGGAGCACGGCATTCAGCCTGATGGACGCCTGCCCAGTGATGCTCAAGCCACCGGAGACGATTCGTTCTCCACCTTCTTCTCAGAGACCGGGAACGGAAGATACGTGCCCCGAGCCGTGCTGGTCGATTTGGAGCCAACTGTCATCGGTAGGTCTTTGTGTTTTGTTGTGTTCTTGGTCTTTAGGTCCTAGAGCTGCTTTTTTGAGTAGAAATTGCTATGTTAAGCCCCAAAAAGTCGATGAATTTGGATGTTTTTTTATAAGATATCAAGTGTAATATAAAATCTTTGGGGTTTTGTGGTGCAGTTGATGTATAATAGGAATAATGGGCTTGTAAGTGAAGGCATTCGATTTTGAATGTTATTTGAGAACGTTTTGTGTTGTGGAATTAGTATTTTTTGATATCAAGTGTAATGTAATTTTTGGCCGATTGATGACATAAAATTACTAACTGATGTTTAAAAATTAAAGAAAATGTATTTTCTTGCAGTCCGAAAGCCATCAAACGCTAAATTTGGCAAAAAATCGACCTTGAGGTCAAGTGTAATATAAAGTAATAATATAAAATTTCAGATGAGATCCGTACCGGCACCTACAAGCAATTGTTCCACCCTGAACAACTCATCAACGGCAAGGAGGACGCGGCCAACAACTACGCGCGCGGCCACTACACCGTCGGCAAGGAGATCATCGACACCGTCCTGGACCGTGTCCGCCGTACCGCCGACAACTGCTCCGGCCTTCAGGGCTTCCTGATCTTCCACTCGTTTGGCGGCGGAACCGGCTCCGGCTTCACTTCCCTCTTGATGGAACGCCTCTCCGTGGACTACGGGAAGAAGTCGAAGCTCGAGTTCTCCATCTACCCCGCGCCGCAGGTGTCGACGGCCGTGGTGGAGCCCTACAACTCGGTCCTCACCACCCACACCACCCTGGAGCACTCGGACTGCGCCTTCATGGTCGACAACGAGGCCATCTACGACATTTGTCGCCGCAACCTGGACGTGGAGCGACCCAGCTACACCAACCTGAACCGACTCATCTCGCAGGTGGTTAGCTCGATCACTGCCTCCTTGAGATTCGACGGAGCCCTCAACGTGGATCTGAACGAGTTCCAGACCAACTTGGTCCCATACCCAAGAATTCACTTCCCTCTGGCCACGTACGCCCCAGTAATCTCCTCCGCCAAGGCCTACCACGAGTCGATGAGCGTTGCTGAAATCACCAACGCTTGTTTCGAGACCCAAAACCAGATGGTCAAGTGTGATCCGCGGCACGGAAAATACATGGCCGTCTGTTTGTTGTACCGCGGAGATGTGGTCCCCAAGGATGTGAACGCGGCCATTGCCACCATCAAGACCAACCGATCCATCCAGTTTGTCGATTGGTGCCCAACTGGATTCAAGGTAAGGATTTTTTGGGGGATTTGGGAGGCTTAGGATTGAGGTGGGCTAAAGTAATATTGTTGGTCATGGTGAATACAGAAATTGTGTTAATTTCCGGAAACTTGTGTTTTTGAGGCTAAATTTGATGGAATAGCAAGCTAGTTGGCTGAGAAAGAGTATTTCTTAAAGTGAATGACAAAAATCGCGATTTTTTATATTATTCATGCCACTAAGTCATCTTTTTGAAATATTTCTTTGAAACGCCAACTATTTTGGGGAATTTGAAGCCTCTTAGTCATAACTAGAATAGTAATGCAGTCTCCAATAATTTCAACTCAAAACTCCATCATAAATTATGTTATCCATGCTTCAGGTCGGTATCAACTACCAGCCCCCAACCGTCATCCCCAACGGAGATTTGGCCAAGGTTCCGCGTGCCGTGTGCATGCTGTCCAACACCACTGCTATCGCCGAAGCCTGGGCCCGCCTCGACCACAAGTTCGACTTGATGTACGCGAAGCGCGCGTTCGTCCACTGGTACGTGGGCGAGGGCATGGAGGAGGGAGAGTTCTCCGAGGCCCGCGAAGACTTGGCCGCCCTCGAAAAGGACTACGAAGAGGTCGCCATCGACTCCACCGACGCCGCTGGCGACGAAGATGAATATTAATTTATTTAAGTTGGAATATAACATCACTTTCCTAAATGCTTGTTTTATACTACACTACATAAAGATCTGTTTGTTCATTTTGACAGTTTATTGGAGTATATTTAGTTGCACATGTTACTATGAATATTTATTTGAAAATTTTTGAAACCTCAATGTAAGAGAAGGGTTAGTAATGTGCAAAAGTCGAACATAATTTAAAGTCTAGAGTGATATAAATATAGCTGTGTCCCATGTGTTCGTCGTAACCAGCGCCCCTCATCTAGGCATGCGATTTGCAGAACGGACGGCCTTCTCGGGCGTAGAAGGTCTGCCCTTCCAAGCTGATGTGGCAGACCTGAAAAAATGTTTTTTATCGAAAAAGTCGATGATATATGTCGCGGGACTTGTAAATCTTTGTGTGTCCAGAAAATGTGTCACAATGACACCGGTTAAAATATGCCAGTGGTATAAACAAACGGCTATACATGGCTAGGAGTGCTCTCTACAGCATTTCAAGACATTTTGGGCATCGCAAAGCTTCTGGCTGCGGGAAAAATGCAGAAAACCCGTCATCCAAGGTGCGCATTGCAAAAGTTTTGAACCTAAATTTTTTGTGGGGTACTCCAGAGAGCCACAAAATAAAAATTTTAGTTCAAAACTTTTGCAATAGACAATTTGGATGACGGATTTTCTGGATTTTTCTAGCAGCGAACGAGAAAGAGCTTTGCGATGCCCGAAATTTCTTGAAATGCTGTAGAGAGCACTAGCCTTATATTTATAACCGTTTGTTTATACCACCGACATTTTTAAACCGGTGTCATCGTGACGCATTTTCTGGACACACAAAGATTTATAGTCCCAAGCCACATAAACAGTGAAGGAACCGATCCAGTGGCAAAAAACGTACCATTTTGCATCCGGGAAGCATAAAAAATGTGGCAAAATGCTTCCCTCTTCAAGTGAAAAAACTTCGTTTTGAAGGGCTCCCTCACAAAAAATGCGGGCGCGCTTTTGAAATCGGAGTTTTTTCACTTGAAGAGGGAAGCATTTTGCCACATTTTTGACAATTCCGGGATGCAAAATGGTACGTTTTTGCCACTGGATCACTGTACGGCAGAGTTGGCTCGAAAACGCCGAAACTGACCGTGCAGTTGAAGCAGTTAGTGTGGAATTGCCCGCCCAGCGCCTCAACCCATTTGTCGCCCGCCTCAATGGGGAAGGTGCAAGATGTGCACTTGGCCGTGAACAGCTGGTTCCAATCCCGTTCGCAGTACGGTTGATTGTTCTCCACGTAGAATGCGGCATTCCCGAACGACTGCCGACAATGCGTGCAGGTGAAACATTGAGGATGCCAGTGCTTTTGCAAGGCATTCAGACACTCCTAAAATACGCAAAAAAATTTTTTTTTTTATTTTTGAAAAAAGAGAAATTGCTTTTTTTCGGATGTGAAAATGGGCTTTGCCGAAAAAAATTTGAGATTTCAAAAATGAGAAAAAATTTTTTTTGATCGCACAGTGCAAAATAAAAATTTCGAAAAATAAAAAAATTTTCTTACCGCGGTAATCGCCAGTCCGCATTTGGCGCAGTCCGGAGCAATCAGCGTCTCAAAGCATTTCTCGCAGTACTTTTTCCCATTTTCTTCGACAAATCCGCATTCAATCAGGCGACGATTACAGGCGCCGTTAGCGCAGTTGAAGTGCTCCGGACAGTACGTTTTGCCGGCTGCTTTGACGAATGAACCACTGAAAGTTTAGATTTTGATTATTTCGAAGTTTTGGATGCGTTATTTTTTGATTTGCGCATGATTTTGAGCTAGTTTCGGATTGATGGCTGGGCGCGAGCTGCGGGAAAAATATGCAGTTTTTGGGCTCAAAATTAGAGATCTAAATTGTAGATTCTACCAAAGAATATACAGTGGGGGACCTGGTCCAGTGGCAAAAAACGCACCATTTTGCATCCGGGAAGTATCGAAAATGTGGCAAAATGCTTCCCTCTCCAAGTGAAAAAACTCCGATTTCAAAAGCGCGCCCGATCTTTTTGTGAGAGAAAGGGCGCGCTCTTCAAAACGAAGTTTTTTTTTCACTTGAAGGGGGAAGCATTTTGCCACATTTTTGATGCGTCCCGGATTCAAAATGGTACGTTTTTTGCCACTGGATCAGGTCCGTCACTGTATATTCTCCAGGAGTTTGGAATAAACTATATCCGATAAAAAAATTGTTGATCTGGGCGCAGCCTGCCAACCTCAAAAGTCTCCATTTTACCACTCAAAACTTACGCAATAGTCCTCTTGCATTCAGCGCATTTTGGTGACTCTGCGTTAGCGCCGAGAACGTCATTTTGAGACCAACGACTTGGTTCGTTGAACGCCTGCGGCTTGGTTACCGGACCGCGGGTTCGGAGCCCGGTAAAGGCGCTGGAAAGCCGGTTCACCTCGTTGGAATCGATGGGAACTCGTTTGAAAGGCCTTTCCTCTTCTGTAAAATGAATTTCACCATATATTAGGCACTGATTTGGAGCGAAATGTCAAGTCGACAAAATGTCACTATTGATTTTTGAAACAAAAGGGAATTTTTTTTTTTGACAAAAAACGGGATAATTTAGATGTCTTGACATTTCAACCGCAGTGGTCAAGCCAAATTACAGTTTAAAGTGAGTAGTATTAGCTGAAAGCAAGTTAAAAAGTTTTTGTTTCGAGATCAGAAGCGCGTCGGAATTAGTTGAGGAAAATTAAGAGAAAGTCGAAGAAGACCTCGAGGAATGTCACTTCAAAGTCCGGAGAGTCCGTGAGAAGTTCGTAATTATCTGAAATAGCATCCACATTACAGTCAAACCTCGCTCGAAAACGTTTGGTAAAATTGGAGATTCCAGCTGCTTACAGTGGTGGACCTGATCCAGTGGCAAAAAACGTACCATTTTGCATCCGGGAAGTATCAAAAAATGTGGCAAAATGCCTCTCTCTCCAAGTGAAAAAACTCCGTTTTGAAAACCTAAAACCTATCCCTCAAAAAAGGGCGCGCTTTTGAAATCGGAGTTTTTTCACTTGGAGAGGGAGGTATTTTGCCACGTTTTTTGCTACTTCCCGGATGCAAAATGGTACGTTTTTTGCCGCTGGATCAGGTCCGCCACTGTATCAGTCTGTCGGGAAAATAATGAACACAATGTCGCTGCGCCGATCGCGTCGCTGAAGTGAAACGCAATTTGATTTTCCCGCGGCACAGTTCCTTTTCTCGGCGGCGATACGATTTTTGCTGCGACAGAATGCTCATTATGAAAAAAATTTCAAATTTCATAGAAAAAAGTCGTTTGAAAATGGATGACCTACCGTCGTAGTGTCTAAGATTCTCGCTACTCCTCCGACTCAACGTTCCACTTCGACTTATCGTTCCATTTTCGATATTCTTGCACAAATCGCTCAAAATCTTGAGCGCTTCCAAACTCTCGCCCTTACTCTGCCTCCGGCCATGTTTCGGTGGGGCTGGCGGAACCGACTTTAGTGGGGATTCCGAAGGGGCTTTGGACAAATTTTGCCCATTTCCCAGCTTCATTGGAGGCAACGGCGGCGGCAGATCGAAGGAAAAGCTTCTCTGCACCGTCTTGGGTGTCGCAGCTCCCGATCTGGGCGTCATCGTGTTCCAACGCGACTCCAGATGCGGCTGATCGTACAGCGGCTCCATGTTGTCGAACTCGTTCAGTGAGCTGAAGTCGATCTTTTGTACGGGCTGTTGTTGTTCCACCGTCTTCAGCTGGATGTTCAACTTGGTCTTGTTCAGAATTTGATCCGGATTTGCCGCTTGCGCTCGATGCACGTGTTCGGCTCGTTGAACGTGACCTCTGTAGGGCCGAATGTCGGCGTATATAATGCTGTGGGCTTCGGTGAGGTCGGCGGCGGACTTGGAGAGCTCGCGTTTGGGGGATTTCCTCGACTTCTCCTTTGGCTTTTTGTGTTTTTTCGGACTTTCGGTTTTCGCCATTCCTTTGAAGGGCTCTTGTTGTCGAGAATGAGACCTCTGAGGGACCTCTGGCAGCTTGGCTTTGTTGGGTTTCGTATTTTGAATCGAATTCGAGGAGAAATCGTCGGCCAAGTCGTAGAAACTTCTTCTTTTTTCATCGGTTTTCACAGTGATTGGCTCGATTCTGGTTGCATTTGTTGAACTGTATATTAGAGGCTGTGCCACGACACTAGGATGACTCTGGACCTCATTTGGAATTAGATTTGGTTGACTTTTTGTTGAATTTCCATCAAGGGTAGTCGATCTTCCCAGTGTGTCTCCATTATTTTTCCTCTCTTTGGCCCACTCTTCAATCTGCTGTTCCAATAGTTCGAAGGATCGATAAATCGCGTCTATGTCGTTCCTCGCGTCCTCCATTACACTAAGATGCATGGACTTGTCCAAATTCGCCACCGGCGTCATCGCTGCTTCCCTGGCCAGCTCCTCATTGGCCGCCGAGATCTCCTTCAATTGTTGCTCATATTCTTGCATATGGATGGGCGAACCGGTCACCGTAGCCATGTCGTCCTCTTCCAGAATTACCGTGGGTGTCGTTGACATGGTCATGACGTCATCGCGAGGTTGAGAAGGCGTCGAATCCGACGCCTTTTGCGGATCTGAGTGGACTTGGCTCAAGAACAGGTCGTTGCTTTGGACCGTGATTTGACTGCGTAGTTTCGGCTGAGAGCGGGGGATTTTACTATGACTGGGACCCGTGTGACCTCTATTATTGGCGCTGTCGTTTTGCGAATTTAACTTGTCTTCTTGTCGCTGCATTTTGTCGACTTCTTTTAGACGTTTCTCTAGTTGCTCCTGAAACTCATGGCTGTTTTGCCCCGAGGCTTTGTGGTTGGAGACATCGTTGAGTTGTTGGAATTCCAGCTCATCAGTACTGGGACTGTCGTCTTGGCCGGGATTCAGTTGATTTTGCAGGGAGGAGACGATCTGAACGGGTTTGGAAGATGCCATTTGAATGGTCGAAAGTTGTCGGCCCAATTTGGGCGGAGATTCTTGTGGAGGGGCAAAGGATGA